CATAAAAATCCTGAGGTAACAGGCAGTAATATCTGACATTGGCCATGCCAACATTTGCCTAGACAGGTCTCCTGAGGAAAGAGAAATAAAAGCAAAAATAAACCACTGGGACTACATCAAAATAAAAAGCTTTTGCACAACAAATGAAACAATCAACATAACTAAAAGGCAATCTACTGAATGGGAGAAGATGCTTGGCAAATGACATATTTGATAAATGATCAGTATCCAAAATATAAAGAACTGACATAACTCAACACCCAAAAAACAAATAATCCCATTAAAGAATGGGCAGAAGACATGAACAGACCTTTCTCCAAAGACGGCCAACAGGCACATGAAAAGATGCTCAATATCATTCATCATCAGGGAAATGCAAATCAAAACCACAATAAGGTCATCACCTCACATCTGTCAGAATGGCTAAAATCAAAAACAAGAAACAAGTGTTAAGTGTTGGTGAGGATGTGGAGAAAAAGGAACCCTCATGCAGCGCTGGTGAGGATGCAAACTGGTGCAGCCACGCTGGAAACAGTATGATGGTTCCTCAAAAGGTTAAAAATAGAATTACCCTACTATCCAATAATTGCACTACCGGGTTTTCACCCCCAAAATACAAAAGCACTAATCAAAGGGATACATGCACCCCTATGTTTATAGCAGCTTATTTACAATCACCAAATTATGGAAGCAACCCAAGTGTCCATCAAGAGATGAGTAGATAAAGATGTGGCACGTAAACACACACACACACACACACACACACACACACACACAGAGCCATAAAAAAAGAACTGCAGTCTTGCCATTTGCAATGACACTGATGCGGCTATAAAGTAAAATGCTAAGTGAAATTAAGTCAGTGAGAAAGAAATACTGTATTATCTCACTCATATGTAGAACTCAAGAAACAAATGAGGAAAGGGAGAAAAAAAAGAGACAAACCAAAAAACACTCTTTAACTATAGAAAACAAATGGATGGTTATCACAAGGGAGATGAGTGGGGGGATGGGGAAATAGCTATGGGGATTAAAAGTGCACTTACCATGATGAGCACTAAGTAACATAGAATTGTGGAATTACTGTATTATTGTATACCTGAAACATTAAACACACTGTACACTGAAACACAACAGAACACTCTATGTTAACCATACTGGAAAATAACATAATAACAGATATTATTCAGTCATTAAAAAAAACTACAAGGAGGGGCGCCTGGGTGGCTCAGTGGGTTAAGCCTCTGCCTTGGCTCAGGTCATGATCTCAGGGTCCTGGGATCGAGCCCCAAATAGGGCTCTCTGCTCAGCAGGGAGCCTGCTTCCCTTCCTCTCTCTGCCTGCCTTTCTGCCTACTTGTGATCTCTCTCCCTCTGTCAAATAAATAAATAAAACCTTAAAAATTAAAAAAAAAAAAAACTACAAGGAAATCTTGCTCTTTGTAACACAGGTATTACGCTAAGTGAATTAAGTCGAACAGAATCATTTATGATCTCACCTATCTGTAGAATCTAAAAAAACACCTAACTCCTAAAAAGATAGGAGGATCTGTAGTTGGGAATGGAGGTGGCAGCAGTGTTGGAGCAAGGTGGTCAAAAGGTATCAACTTTCAGTCCTAATTATTAGATATATAATGTATAACATGACTATAATTAACACTGCTATGTAATATATGTGAAAGTTGTTAAGAGAGTAGATCCTAAGTGCTCATCCCAAGGAGAAAAGAAGTATTTTTGCTCCTCCTTTTTATTCTATCTCTGAGATGAGGAATGTAATCATTTTACATTATATATTGTATATTCATCAGCCAAACCATGATGCTGTACACTTCAAACTTATACAATGATATATGTCAATTATACCTCAAAGCTGGGGGAATAAAAAAGATAAAAAAATCTTTCCAGCTGTTAGAAACCTGGTAGAGAAATCAAGTCCAGAAGGCCTCTAAGTTACAGAGCTGAAATGTTATCTGTATATCCCTCAACACTCTACCTTATTTAGCACCCATTTGGGTAAGTCAATAGAGAACGTGACAGAGTCAACAGACATATCAAAAGTAAAGCAGTATAAGGGGAAAAGAAAACATCCTGACGTGTGTACTGGGTGGGGAGGGAAGGAGACTCCTCTATGGTTGTTCCGGGACTCCTAAAGGAAAATGGAAGACTTCACTGTCTTCCTGTCCTAAGTCCCATATATGTAAAGAGCTTAGGTTTGACTCAATGAGCATCCATCATGTGTTGAGCTGGGTGCTGGGTGTTCCGGACATATGTTCTCATTTTACTCTCACACCAACCCTGTTGATCTCCATGTTAGGGTGATGCAACCCGCCTTACCAATGTCATAGATCTATTCAGAGAGGCAAAGAGTTGACTGAATTCAGGCCTGTGAGTTCATGTCTAGACTTATTTACAAGTTCCCATTATAGACTTAGCATTTCACAATCTTTAGGGAAAAGTGCCCAGGAATCTATATTGAGTGGCTTAAGGGATGATTTTCATGATTAGAGAAATTTGAGAGAAAAAAATAAATAAAACATACTAACAAAATTTGTACTGCCCAAAGGCATAGGGTCACTTTGACTTTTTTGATAATGTTGGGACTCTTAGGAACCAAGATGCTGTCTCAAGTAAGGTTGGGCAACACAGTAATGGACTTGCATGCAGCTTATCTGACATCTCTCCCTTTAAGATGGGGGAACCAAGGCTCACAAATTTTTTTTTTTTTTAAAGATTTTATTTATTTATTTGTCAGAGAGAGAGAGGGAGAGAGAGCAAGCACAGGCAGACAGAATGGCAGGCAGAGGCAGAGGGAGAAGCAGGCTCCCTGATGAGCAAAGAGCCCAATGTGGGACTCGATCCCAGGACGCTGGGATCATGACCTGAGCCAAAGGCAGCCGCTTAACCAACTGAGCCACCCAGGCGTCCCAAGGCTCACAAATTTTAAATGGCTTGCCCAAATTCACTCAGCTGTTATGTGGCCGAGCCGGATCAGACAGGTTGCCTGATTCTAGCTCTTTCTACCATAAACACATTTTGATTGTTTCACACGCAAAAGCCTTTTCTCCCTACTAGGCTGTTAAGTTCAACTGAGCAAACCCTGCGCATTTCTTACTGTGCTTATTATTAGTACAATGCTCATAGTATTATTAGCTCATCATTTGCTGTCATCTACCACCTTTTGCAATATGCACCCACATGTCTGTGACAATCCCACTGAGTTTGTTATCATTTTCCCTGGGCTTTGGGTTACAGAGGAATGGGAAAGGAGGGAATCTCATAGGAAACCTTTGCCTGGCCTACCTGTAACTCTCCAGTGGGGCAATACTCATTCCACACATTCCCAGCTGAAAAGATCTAAAATTAAGATTCAATATTATACGCTGTAAAATTAAAAAGGCTTCAGATGGCCTGAGTGCAAGTTCCCCTCCCAACTCTGCTCTTACAGATAAGGTTCCCAAACTAAACCTAAGCCCTCTTTATCAAAGGGCAATACCATTACCATTCATTTCTGGGCAGCAGAAACAAGTCTATAGATTCATAGTCTATAGATTTATTCAAACAAGCCAATCACAGTCACATCTTCCCACAGGAAGAAGGAGGCACCCCACCTTCTTGATATTACAAAGCCTGCCTCCCTCCCAAAGCCCCCAGTTGTTTAGTTAAGTGCAACCCCCATGTGGCCTTGCATGGAATACAGTTGCTCTTTTCCCCTTGGCTGTGATTTTGTAACTAATGAAGTGCTGTGTCATCCCCCCACCCCCTCTGTATAGAAAATTCCTAATTCTATACAGAGATCAAGTTTTCCTTTCTTACATAAACCCCCTATAACTACAGGAAGCAGTACTTCAGGAGAAAACCGGGCACAAGGGGCCACTACTCAAGCATCTATGCGAAGTTTCCCAGACTACTACATGTCAACATCAGACAATCGGACAGCCTGAACAGAATGGATTTAGGTAGGGCTCACAGAAAAAATGAGTCCTGGAATTAGGCCATAAAAATGTAATTCTAAAGTGTCACCTGCTATGTGAATCAGTGAGCTAATAAACGTGTTAACTAGTGATTCAATTCCTGGCAAAACCTGGATCTTTCCTCACTGCTCTAAAACCTAGCCGTGATTAGAGAAATGCAGCATGAGGAACGCTCTCAACAGTGCACTATGGGCTGTTCAGGGCCAAAGGTTGTGTCTAACCACCTCCATTCCTGATTCTAACATAGTGCTAGCCACAGAGAATCTGCTCATGGAAGTGGCTGAGCCCACGCACATGAAGAATGTTTTACTCTGTGAAAGACCAAGAACAGCAGTGAGCTCAGGTCTTTCCAGGTTCAATAAACCTGGGGAACTGCCGGGATGATTAAGGCTGCCTTTTCAGGTGTGGACATTTATAGGTGACAGGCTACCAGTGCTGCCTCCTCATACTCCAAAGGCCCTCCTGAGTTTGCATAAGATGTTCAATGCAGACAGGACTCCCCACCACGCAACCTGCCCCCCACAAACAGTTACCCATGAGCCTTTAAATAGGGATCACATATACTGATTTTGTTCCCAAGGGCAGGTTAGTATCTGGGTTCTTCTGTACTTACTGATCCCTCCTAGGAGTCATATGCCAAACGATCATTTCGGGAGCTGTAGAAGTAAACGGAGCATCTGTTAAGAGACCACCCACCTGGAATGCATGCCAAATCCTTCACTCTAAGACCTCAAAGTAGAAGGAAGCTAAAACAGGGGAGAAGAAATCAGCCACCATTCCTCAATATCCAATGGGAAGAAGCATGGCTGACCACATGGTTATTACTGAGCCCAAGTTTCACTTGTATTGCAAAAAGAACTACAAGAAGCCCAAAAAACCCACCACGGAACTGGGATTGTGAGGCCACAGGGCGCCAGAAATACAAGCACGTAGCCGGAAGGAAGGAGGATACTCCATTCTTCATGCTCTAACTCGGGCTCAAATTCCCCACCTAAATTCTCACCCCCAGAAAAGACACATGGACACAAGCCACCTTAAAAACTAGATCTGTATTTCTGGTTAGATTCCAGAGTGGCAGAACTCAGGAGTTATACTATATTCAACCTGGTCCCCACCTCAGCTTGCCTCCCTCCCTCCCTCCCACAAAGATAACATTGTACAAAACTGTATTTACAAGAAAACCAGTTAAAAACTAAGGGTGTATACAAAAGTAGACAAAGAGACCCAGAAGTATCAATGTAGGGAAAGGTTTGGGGGAGAGGGAACATCTTATTACACACCAGAAACTGGGAGCAATGTATTAGGTACTAGGCAGAAAGAAGCATAGCAAAGTTCAGTGCCAATTTTAGGGGGAACCAGTCACTCCAGGGAAGAGTGGATAGGCAAGACCTACTAGCTCTAATATTACAAAGTCTTATCCAGCCACCCTTCTTCTGCCATGTGGGTTCAGAGCCACGTGGTGGGGAAACAGAACAGTCTCTGACACAAGTCCCACAGGAAAAGCAAGGGCTCAGAAGGCATAGCGGGTCCGGATATCCTCAAGCTTCTTGGACACCTCAGGTGGGGTTCGGTCCAGTTCTTCAGAGACGTTCTTCTGTTTGTTGGGCTCCATGGAGTTGAACTGCTCACAGAGATCTCCATCTATCACATTCTAAGACACAGAAAAGTGAGTAAGAAATAGGTCAGATGCTTAAAGAAAGTGGCATGCTAAAGCAGCAGCAAAGAAAGCTTCTATTCTCTCTCAAATATCTGAACCATTTCAGAGCCAGGGACACTACTCTAAGTTCATCCTTAGTATCCTGTGTTCAGAGTAGTAAAACTGGGTGAAGCCTCTTCTCTGGCTGTGGTCTGCCCTGGGGGAAGAGGTCCTTGAAAATCACTAGCCATTCTTCTCCACCATTACTGACTCCATCAATCCACTCTTTTGATGTTCCTTCAATCAGGACTGTTCTGATTTACAAGGGAGGAAGGTCCAGAGAAAAGACAAGTTACATGGGGCAAGGATCCCCCTTTTCAACTCAGATTTCCAACGAAGACCTACCTTAACAGGGAAGTAATAGGAACGAAAACTGAGGTGGTCTCGTCCACAGAGAGGAGGATGCTCAGACCGTAGATGCATTTCTACATGTTGGAAAAAGTCATGGTCCTGGTAGAATATACAAAGAAATCTATCACTAAAGAAAAAAGTGATTTCAACTAGTCTACAGTTTCCAGAAGCACAATGAACAGACAAGCCACTGATCTTACTATTTTTTTAACCATCCAAACAGGTGTTAACTATCAAACTGCTCCTGTGACAACCCCAGGTTTTCCTGCTACAAGATACCTAAAATCTGAAAGAAACCCCACCTATATTTGCAGAACACAAGAGAACAACATATGTAAAGACAGATTGTAAAGTCAGATTCCTGATCCCTGTTTCCTTAGCTGGAATGACATAAACCCAATTTAGCCAATCCCAGACCTGAGCAAGTACACAGTATACCTCACTGTAGTCATCATCATTCCTAGTCTGTGGGGTTTGGTTCTGGGGCTTTGGCCACTAACTCTATACCCATACCAGAATGAAACCAAACCTGGGGTGCCTGGGTAGCTCAATTGCTTAAGCAACAGACTCTTTTTTTTTTTTTTTTTTAAAGATTTTATTTATTTATTTGACAGAGAGATCACAAGTAGGGAGAGAGGCAGGCAGAGAGAGAGGAGGAAGCAGGCTCCCTGCCGAGCAGAGAGCCCGATGCGGGGCTCGATCCCAGGACTCTGAGATCATGACCTGAGCCAAAGGCAGCGGCTTAACCCACTGAGCCACCCAGGTGCCCCAAGCAACAGACTCTTGATTTGGCTCAGGTCATGACCTCAGGGTCCTGGGATCAAGCCTCAGGTTGGGCTCCTTGCTCAATGAAGAATCTGTCTGAGGATTCTCTTTTCCTCTCCCTCAGTCCCTTCCCCTGCTTGTGCGCTCGCGCTCTCTCTCTCTCTCAAATATCTTTAAAAAAAAAAGAACTAAACCAAACCCTGGTACAGTATAAAAACAATTGGCTTAGAGAAAGAGGGAAATCAGGATTCCTATTTTCTGAGGCACTTCTATCACCTTATAATATTTCCATAACATGCCCAGCTGCAGGTGGGGACAGAAGATCTGCCCTCTTAGGCTGATTTAGCACCAAGAAAACAACCCTGTGAAGGCAAAGGCCAGAAAAATGTGGGAGATTTCACCTCATGGGATGTGAATGGGACAAGGATGCCAATTCCTCCTGACAAGGTGGTATAGACAAGCGATTCTGAGCCTCCAGGGATCAGTGTGGTCTTCTGTAATGACAGCACGGTCTCGCCCACATGGTAGTTCATGATCACCTCCGCCTGTAAGTTGAAAACAGACTAGTAACTGTGCCCTTGCCCCCCGAACCTGTTCTAGATTCCCAAGAGCAAGCAGTGCCTCCAAAGAGCAGATTTATTTCACTTTCTTTTAAATTCAAACATTACTAACATTTAAAAATACTTTAGAATGTTCTTAACATTTACTTGAGATTAATGTCACAATGCTGAAGTTAAATCATTTCTGATAATTATAATGGAAAAATATTGTTAAACTACCAAGTTTGCAATAAAAAAAGAAACTACAGATAATTATTAAAAAGCAGCAATCATTAGACTAGCTCTCTAAAACAGACCTATTTTAAAAGTCCAGAGATACTCTACTACAGAAGTATATACCTACAGGAGAAAAGTAAAGAGCCCAGAACAACCCCTCAGAGAAGAGCCGGTTAATATCAGGAATGTGTGCAATGATTTTTTCCAAGGAACACACTATGCTCTAGTCACTGCTAAAATGTCTTGGAAAAATTCTACTTTGCAGTGATAAAAATGGAATGGTGACTCGGTCACTGTACATCAAGCCCAGCATCTACCCATCACAGGCTATGAAAGGACGCCCATGAGCAGGCGAGTACTCAGCACAGTCATGTGCGCTGCAGATAGCAGACTAGGAAATGTAGCCTGCAGGCTGATACCTCTCCTTCCGGGTCACTTCTGCAATCTTACCTTCTGAGAGGCCCCGTTGAGCAAGCCCCGGTCCCACAGGGCTTTGTTTCCTGTGGGATCCTCATCCACTTCGTCATTGGTGTTAGGTGGGAGCCTCACCTATAAGGAAGTGACAGAAGTCATGGGGCTGGGTCCTACACCAACTCACCTGGATCACCAAGCAACATGTTTGCCCTAGATCCTTGAAAGCAAGCCTGGGACCACCACCTTCGGCAGAGGCCTAAGCCTGTCTCCTGCAACCTGACGTCTGAGTGACAAACTCCGGAGATTCAACCCATGAGCAAGAACAAAACAAAGGCTATAAAACATACACAAGCCAAGTCAAATTGGGCTTAAAAAGAGAAAACCAAAATTCTCACACAGATAAAAATAATTCTTACTCATTAGCTCAAATAAAATCTATCATCACTATTAAATCATATTCCATAAGGAGGAGGGAGATGGACCTGTACAGGTGATGGAGGGATGGGGACAGGAGATTCTAAAAGATTGATAAGAATGGGGAGCTTGACTGGCTCAGTAATAGAGTATGCAACTCTTAATCTCAGGGTTAAATTCAAGCCCCATGTTGGGTGTACAGAATATTAAATAATAATAACAATTTAAAAATCTTTAAATATAAAAATAAATGACTGGTAAGAGGGCTTAAAGAGGGTGCCTGGGTGGCTCAGTCAGTTAAGCGTCTGCCTTCAGCTCAGGTCATGAACTCAGGGTCCTGGATCAAGTCCCACATTGAGTCCTGGATCAGGCTCCCTGCTCACTGGGGAGTATGTTTCTCCCTCCCGCTCTGCCTTGCTGGTCTCCCTGCCTGTGTTCTGTCAAATAAATAAAATCTCAAAAAAAAAAAGAAAAAAGAAAGATGGCTTAAAGAACACAAAATTTCCTTTTTAGAGCTGGCTTTAGGATTAAATTTTATACCTATTTTCAATTTCCATACTAGAGATCACAGTCCTATGTCCTTGACTTTACCACTGAAAAGAGCTGGCTTTCCTACACATCACTGTAACCGACATAAACATCAACTCACCACACAAATGTTGCCAAATTTGTCTGCCCCAGCCACAGTGTCATAGTCCAGGAGGCTAGCTGTAGTGACCCATCGTGGGTAAGTATCATCGGCGAAAATGATAAGCTGGTTCTCATTACGCTTGTATCGAACCCAGATGAAACTTTCTTGGACATCAGACACAATTACCCTGTGTCCAATAGTCTGGATCCCAGAGATGTAATTGGCAATATGCTGGGAAAAACAAAGACATCAATGGGTATAACCTTGAGATTCAGAACCCAGAGACAGTTCAGCTTCTCCTGATTGAAGCATATATTTATATATGACCTACAGAATGGCAGTCAACAATAAATTCCTAAAAGATGGAAAAAAAGCTAACTGGTTTTAATACAGTGGAAATGTATGCTCAATTCTCACAGTTAAATACTCTGTATTTAACAGAAATATAGTTCTTAGGGTGTCCACGGGACAAAAATATGGTTCTTAGTGTGAAGAAGTCAAGAAACTGACCTAACTTTTGTCCTTCTCAAGTCACAAAGGCCTAATTCTAAGGCTGGAATTGAGGATCTACAAGATCCTAAAAAGACATGATTTTAAGTTACTGTCCACTATTCCACCAATGTTTCCTCCTTCCTCACTAGCTAGTTCTGATGCCCTGTACAAGCTATTTACCTTGTTCTCACACTTTCGGAGTAACTTCTTCTTCCCCAGGTCATAAACTCGCAGAAGCTTCCCCACACCAATCAACACCCTCCCCTGGAATGGGGCGATGGCAGCAGGGACCTCTTCCACTGGAGTCTGTGAGAAGAAAAGCAGGCAATGCAGCTATTAGAACACCAGCCATATGCTAACTGTACCCTCTTGACCCAAAATGTCTACAAGCTCGTCAGAGATATAAACCACACATACAAGTCTCTATGAACAGGTCCCACAGTGCACTGCACGTCACTCGGCAAATGGATCAGTGCCACAAGCCAAAGGAAGAAGCCCTGAGGCCTGATGAATGTGGTCTCAGAGCCTGTACTAATTCAATTGGTGCCACAAACAATGAAGCCTCAATGCAGAAGTGATTCCTGGTTGTGGAGGGATGGGAAAGGAGTGCTAGTGCCAAGTGACATCTCAGTTGTAAGGGAGATACAATGAGTTTAGCACAAAGAAAAGAACATGAGTAATTACTTCCTAGAGGACATTCCCCTGGGGAAGGGCTAGAGCAGCTACATGCATATGCTATCCATGTGGAAGAATGGGATATTTTCCCTCTTAATTTAAAAATTGTAATAAGATACACATAAAATTTATCATTTTGAGCATTTTTTAGTATACAATTCAGTGGCATCAAACATGTTCACAGTGTTGTGCAACCATCACCACCATCCACCCCCAGAACTTTTTCATTTTTCCAAAGGGGAAGTGAATCCATTAAATGTTAATTCTCCAGAGCTCACAAACTGCACCTGCTTAGTAAAACCAGTAAACAAGGGGCCAATTCTGTGTGCATCTATGTCACCACTGTGGCTGGTTAGTATACAGGCTTCCTGTGACACTCCCAGGCAGTGGAGCTTCACTGGAGCAGGAAAGCCCCAGCATTTTCTGTGTGCCACCAGAAGATGGAACACAATCAATGAGCTGGCTTCCAAAATGGTCACCAGAAGACCTGACCTACAACTTAAGCAAAAGTGGGAGAGACCAGTAGGACCTAAGATCCAGGAGAACCAATGGCTGGTTCTTACCTTGTGCAAAAACTCCAGTTTTTCCCCATTGTTCACGAGCTTGTAGGTATAGACAAAGCCCCCGGCTACAGACCTGGGATTGAGAATCAGGTCTTTGGCCACGCCCACCAACACATACCAATCATCACCAGTGTTGGAAAACCTGCATACAGCCACACTGTAAACAGAGAAACAGGAGTCAGGCATTAACTACAGACCAGAGAATTCCTGCCCTCAAAACCCTAGATGTCCGGAGCTCCTTACCTAAAAGCGGCCTCATTCTGTTCTAGCTGGACAAGATCCAGCGTGTTCCCTTGAATAGGATTCATCACTCGGATCACAGAGGCCCACTGCCCATTGCCGGCTTTAGGAGCTCCAAAAATGGACTCAGGAAGGTTTTCATTGAGGAACGCTGCTGCCATCTCTGCAGCAAGCTCCCGCTCATCCTCCCCTGCTGCTTCTACCATTTCCTAAATTAAAAAACAAAATCATAAACACAAAAACAGAAGAGTTGGTATATTCAGAGGTAGGTGGTGGGTGAGAAGTGGACAAGTAGCACAACAGTTCATATCCTGAATAGCAAAGTCTGTAGGCCAAAACCAGATTTTTTCCCAAAATGAAGATTAAAGAGAAAGGTGTACAGACAAGGGGAAGAGAGAAATCCTAAAGGGGAAACCAGATACTTCATTTTTTAATGTCAAAAAAACCTAACATTGACTGGGGCAAATACTTGGCAAGTGGTCTCAGATACATCAAACAAAAACACCACTTTTCTACCTAACCGCCCTGATTTCCCTTGCTATGACTCCTTGTCTCATCTCTTCTAGTCGAGACACAGTTTTGCATGATGGGGCTATTTGGGTTTTTTTTTTTGCTGGGAAATTATTTCTGGAAAGAACTAGTGTGGTGGAGAATTGAACACTGTCTTCCTTTGGGCCCAAATCTAGGAAACACATACACAGGCTGTTTGGGAAGCTCAAGGATTGAAGAACTCTGTTCCAGAAGGAAAGCTGAAAACTGAATAAACCCAAGGTTTGTGTATTAGTCCCAAGTCACAAGAAAACTTCTAAAACCAAGGATAGGGGCAAAGGGCTCTGCTTAAAGGCCCTGAAAAGAACCTGGGTCTTTTTTAATGTATAATATACTATAGATGTATATATAGATACATATATAAGATGTGTAATATGATCAGCAATTACACAAGTTTAAACTTTTCAACAAAATTTCACATGAATGCCTTTTAACTAAACCCTAAGGTCAGTCTCACTACCTCTGCCATTTGCTGCTTCCTCTGAGCTTTTGTTGCCTCAGTGTAGGCATTGTGGTCCGTCTCAATGATGATAAGGTTGTTACTCTCAGGGTGAATAACAAATTTCCTGGGTGTGTACTGCAGTGGAAAGGCCACTTGATTGAAGACAGCACCTAGCTTCTCCAATGCTAAAATCCTATGGGGGAAAAGGAAAGGAATCAACAGATCACTCACTCAGGATTTAGAAACTCCTATCAAAATGGTCTGTGACTGGTCACACAAATGCATTGATCCCTAAAAGCTCTAATGTTGGCATATTCCTCTCTTTGGAGAGAAACATTGAATCAGGTATTTTACAAACATCTGAATGATGAAATTAAGTGGTTAAGCATCAAAAGTTGTCATTCTGCAAGAAAAAAAATAAGTTTCACATAAAGAAAACCAAAACCCAAATCACTGATCCTTCAGTTTTGATTCTTCTGGTCCAACCCACATAATGATCTGTCTTATAAAGGCACCCTACCACGACAAGCAGATTCAAAGTAGAGAGAAAACCTGCTCTCAGGAGACACCCAACACAGAAGGCAGCACAGATATTCCCATGTTGTATTCCTAAGAAAATATGAGGCTAGTCAGCATCTAAGTAGAACTTATACCACTGCTGATATCCAACAGGACTTGAGGCAGTTTTCAAATGGACTTTAATAATTAACAAGCCTTTGTGTGCCAAAGAACATCATCAAGAAAGTGAAAAGACAATCTACAGAATGGGAGAAAATTAGGAGAAAATATGTGCAAATCTTATCTGATAAGGGCGTTACAAGTAGACTACACAAAGAACTCTTAAGAATTCAGTAACGGAAAAACAATTATCCAGTTAAAAATAAGCAAGGGATCTCAACAGTACTCCAAAGAAAAAATAGCAAGAAAGCACATGCTTATCATTAAGCGTCAAAAAAAACTGTCCATCTAAACCACCATAAGATACCACTTCACACTTACTAGAATGGCTGGAATCAAAAAGTCAAATAAATGCATGTGGGTGATGATGTGAAGAAACTGAAACTCTCATACCTTACTTGTGGAAAACAAAAAACAGTGTAGCCCCTTTGGAAAGCAATCTGGCAACTCCTCAGAAAGTTAAATACAGAGTTACCACATTCCACTCTTTCAGATATAGATCAAAGAAAAATGAAAATATATGCCCCCCAAAAAACGTGCACAAGAATATCCACAGCAGCATTATTCATACGTGGAAGTGACTAGTTTTGACAGTAATTACTCTAAACACTGGTGTTACCAAGAGTTCTGCTGTTAACTATTTCACACAGTGGCCTTCCCTGAAAGATTCTGTTCTAGGGAGGAAATGCTCTTCTGCTATGAAAGTGAAAAAATCTGTGGCTATGTCACAGGAATTTATAGGAATTCAAAAGAGAAGAAGCACCCATAAATAATGTGAATGTCCGGGGCGCCTGGGTGGCTCAGTGGGTTAGGCCGCTGCCTTTGGCTCAGGTCATGATCCCAGGGTCCTGGGATCGAGTCCCACATTGGGCTCTCTGCTCTGCAGGGAGCCTGCTTCCCTTCCTCTCTCTCTGCCTGCCTCTCTGCCTACCTGTGATCTCTGTCTGTCAAATAAATAAATAAAATTTAAAAAAAAAAGATTAAAAAAAAAATAATAATAATGTGAATGTCCATGAATGAGGCTAGGTCTTGACTGGCAGAGATGTGGGTGGGAAGCATGCCAGGGTACAGAGTAAAAAAACCATGAGAGAGGAGACAGCAATTCTGCTGGAATAGAAGGTACATAAAGGCGTGAGGGTTAGAGAGAAAAAACAATGACTGGAAAGATCCTGAAAGGTGCTGCAGAGAAATCTGGGAGTTCACCTGTTAAGTTACCCACATAACAAGAGGGTATAGTTCCTCTTGATAGGGTTCCTCTTACAAACAGTTACAACCAGGGCAAGAACATAGGTGGTGTTAAAAGATTAAAGAAGAAAAAACGAAACCCGAAACCTGAGAAAGTCAAACTGAATATAGCTTATTTTTCAAACCGAATAGCCATCTTGCAACAGAACAGTGCTCGCTCCAACATCATTGCGTAAACAATAGTTGTTCAACTTGCAATATATATATTTATATATATTGCAAAATATATATAAATAATTTATACTGAGGTTAAAATTAGAGATGTAACACTGCAAATGAGAGGACCAAATGAGAAAAAGTTATCAGCGAACCAGTGCCTGCCAGCTCTAAAACTAATCCAATAGTACTGCCCTGGAAAAACAGATGGTTTAATCTCAAGGAAACAGAACCATACTGCTGAGTATATTAGAACTTGGCCCTGAAAATCTAAACAGAAGCTACAACTCTGAAAATGAAAACCTGGCTACCAGGTACTTAAAATCCTGAGACAAACGAAGGTTTCAGTTGCAACACTCTAGTACCCTGGTGAAGAGCTGGCTCTCTGCCAGCGCTTCGTAACTTCTTCCAGCACTCTGGCAAAACCACAATTCCAGCCACTGGCAGAAAGGATTCCCACTGGGCTTGAACCATGGGACTCTCACCTCAGAGTATTGGTGGAGATGGCCACAATACCCTCAGGACACTGTTCAGAGGCAAAGCCAGACGCAAACTCCAGGGTCTCATAAGACAAGGGGGTGAGATGGAAACGAGACTGGTAGGAATAGCTCAACCACGATCGGCTTGACATGGCCAACACCTGAGGAAAGAAAAACATTCCAACATGCTTGGGGAAAAGACAAACATGGAATGCTAACCAAACACCCTATCCGCAAATTTTAGTCTACAGAATATCCCAAGGAATTTTTGAAACCTAAGAATACCTTAAGAAAAAAGAGCACCAGAGGTGCCTGGGTGGCTCAGTTGGTTAAGTGTCTGACTCTTGATTTTGGCTCAGGTCATGACTGAAGAGTCTTGAGATCCAGCCCCCGGTCAGGTTCCACACTGGGTGTGGAGCCTGCTTGAGATTCTCTCTCCCTCCCCATGTGTCCCTCCCTCCTCGTGCACGCATGCACGCTCCCTCTCTCCTCTCTAAAAAAAAGAGGAGGAGGAGGACTGGAGAAGAGGAATGCCTTAGTATTTGCTAAAAGCACGGGCCACAAACTATATGACCTAATCACTCAATCTCTCTAAGCCTCTCTAAGGCTCAATTTCTACATCAGTAAAATGCGAACACTGTAACTAGGGAGGATAGTTTCAAGAATTAAATGCAGTAACAAATAAAGAACTAGCATAACACTCAGCAACAATAACATTCTTAGTTACAAAGGACACAATGTTTCCCAACCTCTTTCACGTTACATAGTAAACCCTGGTATTGATATAAGGTTGCTCATGGGTAGTTGTACTCTAGATAAGAGGTTTCTAGCTACCTCTCAGTCAGCTCCGTTTGCCCACCCTAGAGCTGAACAGATTGATAACCTATTCCACCCATAGCTCAGTGCCATGGAAAACTCTCCATGAAGGGACCCAAGACTTCCCACAGAAAAGCTAATTAAGAAAAAGCTAGTATCAAACTAACTATGTATGGGTGAATTACTGAAAGAAAAGCTGATGCCACTAACGTCCAAAAATGCAGCCTGCCCCCTTTCATTACTCACTGCTTCCTGGCCTTGCATCCGGACACGAAAGAGTTTCACAGGACGGGACCCCAGGTACCTAGTGCGTGTGTCAGACAGATCCCCAGTCACAGGGTCCAAGACAGTTCTCAGCAGCACACCATTCTAACAAAAAGGAAAAGAGTTGAGTGAAGCCTACCCCTAATGGAAGCTCCCTGGCTACTGCATAGAATACATAAGTTCAGAACAGGTGAAAGGAAATGACGGGGTTTAAAGAATATCCCAATAACCAGACAACAACTCATTCACTCTCTCACTAAATCACTCATTCAAGTAGTTACTGAGCATTTACTAAGTGAAAAGCACTTATTTTTCACTACATATCTGTTAAAATTCTTTCTACCACGTATGTTAAACTCTTCTTTATAATTTTAAACCTTAGGACATATGCATAGTTAAGGGGTGCCTGGGTGGCTCAGTCAGTTGAACATCCTCAAGACTTAGTTTTGGCTCAGGTCATGATGTTGTGGGTCATGGGATAGAGCTCTGCATCAAGCTTCATGCTCAGTGGGGAGCCTGCTTAAAGATTCTTTCCCTCTGCCCATCCCCCAACTCATGCATGCACTCTCTCTAAAATAAGTAACCCTTAAAAACAAAACAAAACAAAAAAAACATGTATAGTTAAAATAAACAAGGCTTGCTGTGGTTTCTAAATGCCATTTCTCCTAAAAAGATTAAGACTCTTGGGATGCCTGGGTGGCTCAGTCAGTTAAGCATGTGCTCAGGTCATGATCCCAGGGTCCTGGGAGCGAGTCCCGCATCCGGCTCCCCGCTCAGCGGAGAGCCTGCTTCTCCCCCTACTTGTGCTCTCTGACAACCAAATAAAAATCTTTAAAAAAAAAAAGAAAAAAAAAAGATTAAGACTCTTAAGAGAAACAGCTAATTCAGGTCTGTGGAAAGACTATTTCAGGTGAATACAGGAGCACTCTGTTGTACCAGAAGGAAGCACCCGAAGATAACAGGGTCATGTTAAAAAGACAAAGGAACTAACTTCAAAAGGGAACTCCCACCCATCTAAAATGAGGCAATTTAGCATCCAAAAACTGAAAGACCATAATAGTTTGAAGCACAGATACAAAAAAATCGTCAAGTTCATAGGTTATTAAAAAAAAATTTTACTTTATTTATCAGTCCCCACTTGAGATTGCTGTGGCACCAACTCCTTACTGTGAAAACAGATGAACAAAGGGGAAAAAACAAAGTATTTATCCTTTCCCTGTATGAATTATCATTGGGGGGTAAGAAAATTTTGTCTTTTGAGAAAAGTTCCAGGTAATGAAATGAAGAGTGCAATAGAAAATCATCATTTCTCAATCCCTAATGACATAATGGATCTAGGCAATGGGCCTAGTAGCAATGCTACTGGGTAAAAGGCTGACAGGGAGCAGATAATTTAAAATAGATACAAACATTCTAACGCCACTAAAATAGCATAACCAGACATTACATGCCTCCTGATGTGATGTAACAGAAAGTAAAGGGCACCACTTATAAAACACTGTCTCCCACAAAATATTAAATCTGAATCTAATCAACCTCTCCACCTGTGCTATCCAATTCTATAATCAAACCACATGTGGCTAGCCAGAATCATGATGTGCCATTAAGTATAAAATACAATATATGAGATTTCAAAGACTTTGTTCAAAAGGAGAGAAAATAAAGTGTCTTAATTTTTACACCAATTACAAATTGAAATGACATCTGAAGTATTCTGGGTTAAAGAAAACATTAAAATTAATTTCATCTGTTCCCTTTTTGTAGCTACTGGTATATTTAATTGACACATGTGGCTTACACTGTATTTTAAATGGACAGCATGGTCTAGATCCACCCACTACTTTACAGGAAATACAGATGACAGACAAACATTGAACACACATTAAAGACTGCCAAATTCAGAAGGTGGAATTTTTCAAGACAAATGGTCTGGTTTCTTAAAAAAAAAAAGGGGAGGGGGTAAAAATTATTAAAAGACACATAAAGGGATAGGTCATGCAGAAGATGCAAACTGCAAATGGCTTTCTGCAGATCCTAAGTACAACCAAAGGTAAAACATTTTTGGAAAAACAGAAACAAAACAAATCAAGAAAAGCCAGAACATGAACAAGATAACAGATATTAAAGAACTGCTGTGTTGGGCATGGTAATAAAATTGTGGCCTAAAAAGAAAACAACGCATACATCTGTTATGGCTACATTCTCAAGTATTTATAGATGAAATGACAAATCATCTTAGATTTGCTCTATCCTACTCCAGAAGAAAGAAATAAGAGGGAATAGATGAAACAACAACAGTATAATGTTGGTAACTAATAAGACTGGTGATGGATACACTGAGGGTTGTTACATTAGACTAACTCCTGTGCAGTTTGAGAAATTTCTAAATTAGGAAATAAAATTAAAAAGCAAAAGTACCAGGGCTAGATTATTTACCCAGGGGGTTGAGCAAATAATCATTAAGGAAAATGGAAAGTATATGGTCAAAAAATACTGACACTCTGCTACCCTTAGGTTCCTGCTTTTCATGTGAAAAAGAGCCCCACTGCTTTGACAACAGGGAACATCCAGGGATCCTCTGTTACTAAAGGAGCCCATTATACATCAAAAGGTTTTAGTTTCCAAAAGCTGCGTATTTTAAGAACTGCACAGGACTCTTGAAACCCCTCTAGTTCTGGGGCACCTGGGTGGCTAAGTGGGTTAAGCCTCTGCATTCGGCTCAGGTCATGATCTCAGGATCCTGGGATTGAGCCCAGGGTCTCTTTGCTCAGCAGGGAGCCTGCTTCCCCCGCCCCCCCCCCCCCGCCTACTTGTGATTTCTCTGTCAAATAAGTAAAATCTTAAAAAAAAAAAAAAAAAGAAAGAAAGAAACCCCTCTAGTTGCTCTAGTTGTGACCCAGAGTAGTGATGACAACACATTTGTATCAAAGACTACGAAAACTTTGTCCTGGGCCTGACTTGTTCTAATTAGAGCTGACAGAAACGGAACGCAGAGCAGCACAGTTCACTTTTTGTAAGATGGTAAACTGTAAAAGGCACAGTAAATGCCCGTATTGAACAGGGACTACACAAAAGCTAAAGAAGGCCTGACACCAACAATGCGAGCCTTAGGTCTCTTACCTGTAACCCAATATTCAGGTACAGGAAGCCAATTGAGCCCCTCTCACCCAGCTCATCTTGTTTCTCAGTGCCACCCATTTCCACAATACACAATGACTCGGGCTGAGCTGGGAGAGCCTGCATGCTCAGAGGCTGCAAACAGTCCTAAGGAGGAAAGAAAAAAGAGTAAAACACGGGAAATGACCAATTTTGGAAAAATCTACCCAGAGAAATCTAATTGGAGGAAGGGAGAAACAACTTTCTTGTGGACAGGGGCATCCTATACAGTAAGTTGTAAATGGGTTACTACTAGTTAAACCAAATCTTAGAATAAGCTCTGGAGCTCTGGAAAGAACCATGTTTTCCTTTCTGTAAAAGTGGGTAATCCGAAGTAAATAAGCAAAGCATACCTATTCCTGAAAGTTAACCAAAGCCCAGGGCCAGTCCCAAGTCCTTTTTCTGCACACAATCTTCAGTTGTGTTTTAACAAGGCTTAAGGCGAGAGAGCATTTAGTAGTCCGGGATCAGGATCTTTAAAGTACTGAGGTGTGTTGCTATGATAATCAGGAGAAGCAGCCAGTGCTGACTGCAGAGACTAGCCCCGCTGATCCCAGAGAAGCCCATCAGGAGTGGGCCTGAAGCTCAGGTTCCAGTGGGAAGATCCTTGGAAGTCAAGGGTAACACTCACTGATGGATCCAGAGAGATGATTCTAACAGTATTGTCCACCAGCCCCACAGCCAGGAAGCGAGACCGCTGCTCTCCAGGAGGCACGTTGGCCAGACTCATGCACACCACATCTGCCGACATCTCCTTCCGCTCTGTGTACTCGTTCAGCTGTCCTGACTACAGAAGTGAGACAGAGAAAGGTGACAACTTGCCCCTAAACCCTGGGCCTGGGAAAGGAAAGGAGGACTGTTAAACTCCTTTTCACTTTTTCTCACTCCTCTTACTATCATCAATGACCAAGAATTTCTCTACTTAAGGTACAAGACTGAATACTTTAGGCTAACAGAAAGCAAAATTACTGACAAGACAATCAAAAGACAACCTAATGTCTTTGTCTTTGGCAAATTCAACATGCTACAAATTTTTTAAGGCAAACCTAGTTCTCAGGAAATAGAAATATATAAAATTATCTGTTCATGAAAATACTTTGGGTGAAAGAGATTTCAAATATGGAACTTAAAGACAAAGAAATCCCAACCAGAGGTACAGTTAGACTCTCAGGTTGGCCACATCCAGAAACTAAGAGCATGTAAGTATACCCAACATCCTTCCATACAGAAAATTTCTGAAATGGCTTCAGACTATAAAAATTAAAACTTACGGCCAATATTTGGTGGAAAAGCAGAGTGTAAAGGGCAAGAGAAGCAAATATTTCACTGATAAGATGAGATTTCATAATTCCAGTTAGAATTAAGATATGAACTTAACCCTCCCCTCACCCCCACCCCCAACCCCACCAGGCCAGAGTGGCTTATGTATACTTTCCCTCTTGAATTTTCCTGTGAATATCATCTAGATACTGGACTACAACTCTCATCTTTACCTCTGGACCCTAAAACCAAGTCCCACAATGAATGATAAAATAACATACAGGATCCATCTCAAAATAGACCAGCTCTCCTCCTGTCAGGGCAATCACCACCTGTCGCTGGTTCACTGCACATTTTACAATCGTTTTCTTTCCAGGGGTCTTCCATTCATTGACTCGTTTGTCCGCTCTTATGTGCCTAATACCATCAGGATACACCTAAGTCAATGACCAGAAGGAAACTGGACTTTAGTAATGTGACTCACTGCTCAGCAAGACCCACATACCTAACAGATGGGTCACTCTTGTCAGAATTAGAGCCATTGCATTTGAGTTGCCATTGGGTCAATGACAAAAAGGAGTTACTAGGCCCTGTATAGGTGAACTTAAAACAAGTTCATGTTTGCAATGTCCACTTCAAAAGAGTTTTTCAAAGCTCTTTAATGTCAGCACAGCAGCCCATACCACAATAAAAGGACAAAGTAAGGCGAGTTAAGTTCTCTCGCTCTGGGAATCCTCACCTGCACCAAGGCATCATCTCCTAACAACGAGCAGGACAAGGTTGGGGTGGTGCCCAGGAACCCAGAGTCAGTCACTTCTTCCACAGTCTCTCCGATGGACAACACCAGTGTGGCATTCACGAAAGACACAATGATGTAGGCATCAAATTCATCTGCAAGAGGGAAGAGAAGAGGAGGTGGTTAGCTAAGAACTCATTAGTTACAAAGCTAATTGAGACATACTAAGTTTTCTCTTCAGAAACCTTCCAAGGCACTTCTTTTCTATGTGTAGCCAACACACACAAACACACACACACACACTCATGCGGCAAACGGCACAGGATGATCCGAAAGATTACTGAAGGTCACAACAGCCTACAGATATACTCTGCTTCCTTAAATGCCTAAATACATTGAGTAGGTATACCCACCCCAATAGCTCTGAAAGTTAATTTTCCTTGAGAAATTTGCTGGAAAAACACAAGATGACAAAGCAGGGTAATCAGGCAGGAAGAAATTTTGAATACTACAATATTTACATATACTGAAGTGAGAGATTGTTTATTTGTGCCAGATGCAATATCACAATTCCCTCTTAAAGATAATCCTTATAAGCAAGAAAGGTCTCCAGCCTCTTCCAAAAGAAGTTAATGTGGGAACATAAGACCTAATGAATAAAACAGATTACTTAAGCCTCAATGAGACTATCATTCTCAGGTTCATAACTGAGAATCTCAGGATGTCCCAACAGGAAGGAGATAAGAGGATTACCAGGAAGTGGGGGGGGGGTCTGTTTATATTGTCAGTCCTTGACCTCTCTACTCTTATTATTTAAAAACACAACTATTCAGTGGAGACAAGCAATCCTATTAGGATTTGCTTTTCTTTTAACAAAACATAGTTATGGATAAACAAACACGAGTGAGTTTCTCAAAGTCAGAGGATCTGAATACAGGCAATCCCAGAAGTTTCTCATACAGACCCCATAGTTAAAGGCCACCTATTTCCCATATATTCCATCCTACACATAAAAACAGCTTCTGTGTCTCCCCCACATCCAGCACGATGTTTAGCATTATGCTTGATAAATGCTGAAGAAAGGAAAGGTGTATTTATTTTTCATGAAGGACTGAAATTTCCCTATTTTACATCTGAATTTTCTTTTATCAATTCCCCTTTCTGTCCCCCTTCCCTCATAAGAAATCAGGTGAACAAGGGACAGAACTACAAGTAGACAAGGTACTAAATTAAGTTTGGTTTTGGGTTTTTTGTTTTTTGTTTTTTGTTTTTTTGGAGAAGGTACTAAATTAAAGTGGCTACCTCACTTATAGCAGAAGGAGCTACAGGGCACTGTGCACCTGAGCCCTTGTCCAAAGCTTAGTACCATAGAGCTGATCCACTCCACTCCCATCAAGGACAGTTCGGATTCTGATTGCTCCAAAGGTGGTTCAGCTGAACCAAGACTATTCTACTAGTTCAGCAGAATCAGTGTTCTTCACAGAAAAAGAGGCCAACTGAAGACATATCACTAGTGTAGCCTAGACTAGTTCTCGGCCCTATGAGCAGGACATACTCAAACTGACAGACTATAACTAGCATTTTAAAATAGAAATACATAGAAATAAATATAATTTATGAAATTGCTTTACACATGAAATTAATAACCCAGTAAGGGTGAGTATTATTTTCCAAACTCATACTTAATACATGCGTATACTGACTGGGTGGCTGAAAGGCAAGTATCAAAGATCTTTCCCAATGGGTATAATCCAATGGCTATACCAGGAATCCAGAATAAGGGTTCAAGTTCCAAATCATAAACACTGGAGAACTAGATAGCTAGTTTTAGATTATCTTTGTTACAACCGTTAAGATGTATCAAATGCTTTGGGAACACTTTATAAAATGGCTTCATAAGACAACACTGTTCACCACCATGTGAGTAAGGACATGGTTATCCCTGAAATGGATGACTTAATAGTTTACAACAAAACCAAAATGAATCTCCACACAATACCAAACTTGGAAGCTTTACTCCAGCTGTTTTTGAACTGGAAATTTGTAGTGTGTAAAAATAACAGAAATTGCTTAATTTTAACTATATGAATATTGTGTCCTTTTCCACACTCTCATTACTGAAACCCAATATCCTAAAAGCTGTGCCAGAGCAAATTAAAGCCAAACAACAAAGGGCTCTTAAATGGTCAGGATTTCTGGTCTTTTTCTTCAGTCAAGGGGAAAGGGAGAAACTTCCAGCAGAGACCATGGAAATTTTAACTAAAACGCAAGAGAATGAGGAGAGGAAGGAAGGTGGGAAGGTGGGCTGCCTGGGTCTTTACCCTCCCTTTGACCCAAGGCCCCAGACTGCTCAGATACAAAAATAAAGAGAAGCTCAGTGGACTTAAATAGGATCTTACATTCCCTGAGCAATTCAACAACCACTAGAGCTGCTTTATACCACAGATTCCCTCATAACATCCATTACCCTGTGAATACTAAGCACACTCTAACTTTCCTCTCCATTCTACGGCCAGGAGGACCTATAGCGGGCCAGTTGCTCATGTCCTAGGGAAGTTATAGGTTAAGAGTTGGAATTCAGAACATAATCAAGCTAAATGACCATAAATAAATGCCTTGCCTTTTTCCAGAAGTTACAACTTTCATATAAAAAAAACATTAGTTCAGGGGCACCTGGGTGGCTCAGTCAGTTAAGCCTCTGCTTTGGCTCAGGTCATGATCCCAGAGTTCTGGGATCAAGCCCCCTGTCAGGCTGCCTGCTCAGCTGTGCTCTCTCTATCTTGTGCTCTATCTTATGCTCTTGCTCTATCTCTCTCTAATAAATACAAACTTTAAAAATAAAAATCTTACATGTACATATGAATATGTGTGTGTGTGTGTGTGTGTGTGCACGTGTGTGTGTGTAAAGGACATTAGTTCATACCTCAGTGAAGAATCTATCAGGGTATGAGAATGCATCTTTCTCACTTAAATAAAACTTCTGAGCACTGCTAAAGCAGCCCACAGGGGAGGGAATACTTTATTCTTCTCTCCTCTGCCTTAGTATCTGAAGCTCAACAAACAGCTCACTCTAAAAGGCAAAGTGAGTGACCATACAATGACTTGAGCTTCCAGTATACCATTCTCGCTCTATACTTGGGACTACTTGGTGCCTGCCTTGCCTCAGCAGTCCTGATTATACTCCCCAAAAAGGCGGCTTTCTCCAGGACTTGAGTCAGTACAGCTGGAACAGACAAAACTCCAAAGGAGTGTATGGAGTTAAGGCTTTCCTAGCTATACTTTCTTGCAGCTTAGTGAAAGACAAATTAGTCATATTTTCCACTAAGGGAAAAAATACAGAAAGCTGATTCCTGCCTCAGACCATGTAATATACAGGCAGATGGGTGTGTATCTCTATAATGCACAACAGCCAACTGCAAAGTTACCCTCTGAGAGATGCCATCCGGGCAGTCTTATTACTCTGTGCAGATCCCTCTCCCTGGGCAACTCTAAGACCCCATGGTAGACCCTAGCAGTACGTACACACCTGTGGTGATCAGCACCTTCACCAGCCACCTGTGGAAGAGAAAAAAAGGCTTGGTATTGGTAGTGTGCATCACCACGTACCAGCCAAGGTTAGTAGTTGCCTGGAAGACTACAGCATGTGTGGACATGTGGGCTATTCACTCAACAGTTAACTTGGGAGTATCTGGAAAGAGAATGAACAGAGAGAACCTGACCTTTTTTTGTTGGGTGATCACCCAAATTACAAGTTTCTAAAAAGTAAAATTTATTAGGATGTAAGTCTTTTCCTAAATTTTGGTATTTAGAGAAGAAAAAATTTCCACTACAATTTCCACCATGCAACATACTGCTGATCACTGACTCATTAAGCACTATCAAAAAAGCCTTTTCTGATTCTCCAACATAACCCCATTCCCTGTCCTCTAACACATCCTAGCAACATGCCTGTGCCTTTTATTACGCAGAACACAAGCAGTTTTATATACTTGTCTTCTTTTTTAGATGGCAAGTACCCCGAGAGGAAGGATCCTATCTTAATCACTCTGGGAGTGCAAGGTGAACACCCGGAAAGACTGCAGGATAGAACTTAACCTAAAAAAACAGCAAGAACCACAGACACCCACTACAGGGTTAGTCAAATGAACACTGGATTGGAAGTTCAGAGACTATGCTTTCGGTTTCCATTACCTCAATGTGCTATCTCGGAAAAGTCAACCTGTGTGACTTTTCTGCCTTCATCATAAAAATGAGGGGTAACCTGCTTATAAATCTAAACCCTTGTTGAAGTTTAAGAAGTAGAAAATGAAATACAAAGACAGGAAGGGTATGGAATACTAGTATTTTATCTCAATGGCGCAAAAAATTCCAAGTGTAGACAATGTTTGCATCGAGCTATAATATCAACCAGCCACGAAGCTAAAGGTGAACATCAATACTGACCTATGAAGACATTAAACAAAATGAGGAAATCCTTCTAAATCAATCATCTAAAAATTATCTTCTCAGCAAAAATGAACCTACTAATTTCCTGTTTGCTGCTTCTTTTTTCTTTCTACTCATCTCAGACTTGGCTCAAATGTCCACATGAAAACAAAATCCACAATGTGCATTCTACTAATATGAAGAGGTTTCCCTCCTACACATTTCCCAGCTCCCATAAAATCAAACATCAGAACATCAAAATATCAGGAAAATTTCCAGCTGTTTTCTTGAAAATGCTTTGTATGCTGGCCAGGGTGCTCTTACTCAGCAGGCCCACATTCCTAAGGGAACAAGAGGAAGATGAAGTCTAGGAATAGAAATGACCTACACCCCCCAAAGAATCCAAGGGAAAATGAGAGTTAAGTTTCAGTTCTCAAATTCAATTAACTCAAGACTTTCCTGCTGGCTGTTGCCCTATTATGCATTTTCACATAAATTTCAAAATTTTAGGATGAAGTGGCCCATTTTTATCCAGGAGCATGGACTCCTGTTGCCTCCATCCCCTCTTTTTCACCCACTCTAAAATTCTAATTCCATTCAATCAATCTTAATCTGAACTTTTCTGAAGCACAACTACACCCACTAAGTGGGACTAATAAACTTCATCAAATCTCTTAATACCTAGAACAACACCTTCAACTTCACTGTGGTTTCAGCACAATAGAAGAAAACAATGAAGTAAAATGAAGAAGTGGAAACTTTCCCTCACACCACACCTCTTACACAGATGGAACCAGTACCGTCAAGATGAATACAGTACCCTTACTCGTGCGTAAAAAGGGTGAAGGCATCCTGATTCAGAATCGGAGAAATGTGATGTCAAGCCAGAAAATGTTTCTAGTATATTGCCAAAAAAAAGCAATATATAAATATTATGAATGCAGACATCTAAGCCTTCTATTGTCAATGTCACCCAGACCCACTTTCTGACTATTGGGAATGGGCTGCTTACCTTCAATGTGCCGACGCACTGTCCAGACAGCATTGGGGTTACCGGGTAACTCAGAGACAGCCATTTCTGATACCTGACAGGATAGGAGACAAACCACAGATCCAGTGAGCACAGAACTTAGCTCTTTGCTTTAAACTACACTAGATAATGGGATTCTGAAAAGGCAGTGCTCATACCGCATGTTGGATTAAAAGAATGGAACCAGGGCACCTGGGTGGCTCAGTCGGTAGAGCATGTGACTCCTGATCTTGGGATTGTAAATTCAAGACCCATGTTGGGTTGTAGAAATTACTTTTTTTTTTTTTTTTTAATTTTTATTTATTTATTTGACAGAGAGAGAGATCACAAGTAGGCAGAGAGGTAGACAAAGGGGGTGGGGGGAAGCAGGTCCCCACTGAGCAAAGAGCCCAATGTGGGGCTCAATCCCAGGACCCTGGGAACATGACCTGAGCCAAAGGCAGAGGCTTAACCCATTGAGCCACCCAGACGCCCGGGATTACTTAAAAATAGGGGGGGAAAAAACCTTTTTTTACAAAGAGAATGGAATCATTTTATTAAAAAAAAGAGAAAAAAAAAGTTTAGAACCAAAAAGGGCTGGAAATATTGGCAATCCCCCTAACAAACTTTAGCAAAAAGTGATGGAATATTTAGGATAGCTGTTGCATCAAAAACTATGCAATTTCTTTCAGTATGACATGCCTGTATCTTCCTCAAGAGAACACATAGAATCAAACAGGCCATGATCTAAGTTAGCATCCCATTTCTTCCCTAGCTCCCTTAAGGCCAAATCCCATCTCTCTTCAAGGACCAATTCAAATGCTACATCCTTTAGGAAAAAACCTTCCCTTATCCTCTTGTGAGGCAGTCCACTCTCCCTCCTATAAGATCTCAAAGAAATCACCGCCTCCTAAAGCATTTATCTAAAAAGTGATTTCAGGAATTATTCTGTCCTTCCTACTAGATTTTACGCTCCTTAAGGTTAGAGTCAAGAATCCTCTGAATATCCTATAGGTTCTCAAACATAAGAGGAAATGAAATATTTGAGATGAACTAACAATGATCTAGAAGGGAAAACTAAGTGTAGGTTACAGATGAACTCACGATACAATCCCTGTATTTTTTCTGTAAATACAAAACCATTCCAAAATAAAAACGTTACTATTTTTAAATGACCCAGAAATGATTTACTTAACATATTGTACCATGTAACCACATGGTTATAGAGAGAACTCACGTATACCCATTAAAGGCAGTAACCTTTTTTTTTTTTTTTAACTCAACTAATAAAATAACAGGAATACCTGATCATGGAACAGGAGAACTGAGTAAAACTTCATCACCAATAACACCTAAGTGTTAGGAGTGCTATACTCTATACCAAATGTAACATGTGACCGTGACCCTGCTCAAAAGAGACCATAATCTGGCTTAATAACAAGGTTCAACAAATAAATATGGAAGAGCAAAGTAATGTTTAACAATTTCAAAATGTTTTTCTGTGTAACAGAGATCTTTTGTAGACCTGGAAAAAAGTGGGAGGGGGTGGAAGACTCGAAAACAACAATTCTTAACTGGATCCTTTATCTCTTACACCGTACACAAAATTTTCTGTTAATGCACATATGCACTTCTGGTGGAGAATTTAGCTTTTGTCAAATGCTGGACGGTATCTGATGAGCAATCAAAAACTGTTAGTATATATTGGATTTAAGTCATTAAAAATTTACTAGCCTGATGAGTATTTTGGCAGAGCCAAAAAATTTTCAAATACCCTGAAACAGCAGTATTAATAGCTAGCATAAATTAAACTCTATGCCAGATACTCTATGCCAGACTTTGAGCTAAGTGCTTCTTACACATTCTCTCACTTTAATTCACACAACAATCTTTAAAACAGATCCTATTATTAAGCTCATTTTATAGAAGAGAAGAAACAAAAGCTTGGTAATAGCTACTAAGTGGTAGAGCCAGAATTCAAAACCAAGGTAAGTCATCTTGTCTGTATTCCAATAAAAATTTACAAAAACAGGCAGTGGGTCACTGAGAGCTTAGAGCGTGCCAACCCCCAACTCTAAAGCAAACTGCCGTAAGAAGCTTTATTTTGCTCTTAACAGAATCAACCCCAGGGAACTTGCTAAAAAAAACCATCAACTCTAGAACCAAGAGGATGTGGGATTTGAGTGTCCATGTCACCTAAAAGATCCAGCAAGAAAGAATTAAATAAATTCTGATCTATCCACTACAGTGGAATATTACAGAAACATTAGGGGCCTGGGTGCTCAGTGGGTTAATGCCTCTGCCTTCGGCTCAGGTCATGATCCCAGGGTCCTGGGATCGAGCCCCGCATCGGGCTCTCTGCTCAGCGGGGAGCCTGCTTCCCCAACTCTCTCTGCCTGCCTCTCTGCCTACTCGTGATCTCTGCCTGTCAAATAAATAAAATCTTAAAAAAAAATTAAAAAGAATTCAAAGTAAAAAAAAAAAACTTAATAAAATAAAATATACAGTATTAATATAGTTAAAAACACATAAATACCTAAAAACTTTGAATAGAGACCAAGATTAGAAGAAAATAGAATAAAATGCTCCATGCAGATTTCCTCCATGTTTTAGCTGGTGAATGTGGAGCCAGTAGGGGTTATTTCCCCCCCTTTCAACCCCATTCGCCAATTTTTAAAAATGTGTCTCTTGTACTAACATGATAAAGATTAGGAAATTTAAACGTTACAGAAAAAGAGGAGAAAGAAAAACATTTTTTCTTTCACAGAAACATTAATCACTTATCTCATCAGAATAAAGCCATAAGCTGCTTTTTTTTTTTTAAGATTTTATTTATTTATTTATTTGACAGAGAGAGAGAGAGAGAGAGAGATCACAAGTAAGCAAAGAGGCAGGCAGAGAGAGGAAGAGGCAGGCAGAGAGAGGAGGAAGCAGGCTCCCCACCGAGCAGAGAACCCGACGTGGGGTTCGATCCCAGGACCCTGAGATCATGACCCGAGCCGAAGGCAGAGGCCCTAACCCACTGAGCCACCCAGGTGCCCCCATAAGCTGCTTTTTCAATGCTTCTCTCCAAACCCTGCAGATGATCTAAATAAAAATGCCCACTTACCTCAAGTCCATGCCTTAAGACTCTCAGAGATGATCGCGGTCCCCTACCACAGGCCACATAGAGCTGTGGTGTGTCTTCATTGGCCAGATCAGCTATCTGAACAGAGAAAAAGGCAAAAAAAAAAGTCTACTTGTACCAAGTTTTCAAAACTAAACCTGATTTTCTCGGGGGACAAAGTACTTGCTAGTTTACTAAGATTATATATTGGCTACAAGCCGTGTAGCATTATGGGGAAAACCCTCGTGTTCCAAAAAGCAAACCAGTTTGAAGCAACAAACTTTACTAACAAAAAAAGGCTTGTGTCAGTTTTTCAGTTAGCAAATTATTTTTTTTACAGAGAGTAAAATGAGTGTTATCGAACCTTGAACTGAAATTTAATATTTCCTTTCCACTAAAAATATAAACTACAATATTATTACAGTATCAGTGACTATTACCAATAAAAATGACTTTTATTCATATAACATTAAAATTTATATACCTCCAATTACTCTTCTCATCACTACTTCAAAATTACATTCAATAGATCTGCTAGACTATACATTATCGAAATTGCCTTATTAACAGATACTCCTACAATGTAACTGACTAACCACTGGGTAACTACACCTGACTGTTCAGGCACCAAATGGGGAAGACATGTGTTATGTTGGTATCCCAGACATCTAGCTGCTTTCCAGTACATTTTTTGGTCAATAATGAGTCCAATCATTTGTACTATAGTTTTGTCAAACGAGTCAGTTCAAGTGAAAATTCGTAACTGTAAGACAATACAGCTTACTGTAACACGGACAAACGGGTGTTGAGTGCATACAGCCTTCACAATGATCTCTTCCTTAAAAAAATTAACTCACCTATTTCAAATGCACCATCTTCTTATTTAAACAAAGCCTTGATAAAGAAGCACATTACTTTTCCTTAACTGAAAAAATACCTTGTTATCTTGATTTATGTTTATTACTACATGCATTTAAAAATATTATTCAGACATAACATCTTAAAAAAAAAACAAAACAAAAGGAGCGCCTGGGTGGTTCAGGCTGACTCCTGATTTTGCTCAGGTCATAATCTCAGGGTTATAAGACTGAGCCCCCACATCAGGCTCCAAACTGTGCAGAGTTGGCTTGAAAGTCTCTCTCTCCTTTGCCCCCTCCCCTGCTCACATGTGTGCGCACATATGAACGTGCTTTCTCTCTAAATAAATAAAATCTTTAAAAATAAATAAATATGAAAACATTATTCAGAGAAGAAATCCAGTTGCCTCACCAGGCTAGTAAAGACACCATGGCACAAAAAAATACTCAGCCCCGCTACAGATACCTGAACTTTCTCTTAATTTTATCCTTTATCTACAAACTACACCATTATTTCTTCAAATTCCAATGGAAGGGGGGGAAAATCACTAACAATCTATTTAGGAATTACTTAGTATTTTCTACTGCCTCAGGGCTAATTTCTCAAAAAGAAAGAACAAAAGCAGTTAATGTCAAGAATGGTTAATTTTGGGGCACCTGGGTGGCTCAGTGGGTTAAAGCCTCTGCCTTCGGCTCAGGTCATGATCTCAGGGTCCTGGGATCGAGCCCCGCATCAGGCTCTCTGCTCAGCAGGGAGCCTGCTTCCCCCACTTCTCTGTCTGCTTGTGATCTCTGTCAAATAAATAAATAAAAATCTCAAGGGAAAAAAAAAAAGCCTTAAAAAAAAATGGTTAATTTTACCAGAAATAATGACTTAATGCTGACTCGTTTTCCCAGCACTCAGTAAATAAACCTCTCTCCATTAAGTGTGATCAACTAGACAGGGGCTCAAACCCCAGCAATCCAGGATACAAAGGCATGGCAAAATTCCTGCTACAACTGAGTGTCACCAGCGGGGCAGAGTCCCCATCCTGGCTACCTTGGGTTCCTCCCTGAGAATGTATTTAAAAAAGCTGTTCCTGATTGATCACCATGTCTCCGGAGAATTTTAAGAAATGGTGTGTTAAAATAAGATAGAGGTGTTCCTTGACTATAAATATTCACAGCTATTAAGTGCTAAAAGATCAATTCCAGAACACGATGAAGTACACGAGCCAATTTACATTAAAAAGAAAGGGGTGAGGTGAGGCACCTGGCTGGCTCAGTGGGCTAAGGGTCAGACTGTTGGTTTCAGAACATGGTCTCCAGATCTTGAGATCAAGCTCTGCATCAGAGAGCTCTGTGCTGGGCCTGGAGCCTGCAAGAGATTCTCTCTCTCCCTCTCCCCTCACCCAACCCCCCACACACTCTCTCTCTAAAAAATAATAAAAAGAAAAAAAAGAAACATAAAACACACACAAACACACACATGCACTGACAGATCCAATGAAAATGCCTGTAAGCAAACACAAGTTGTTAATAGCAGCATCCTCAGTGAATAGAAAGTTGAAAATAAGATTGGGAGTAGGAATTTTACCATTTACCTTTTGTATGGTTTAGAATTTTTATATTGAACACAAGTTATAGAATTAAAAAAAAGTCTAAGGATTGATGGAGTAGTTTTTACTTCTCCACTTTTCACCTTTAACTGCTTCACCTTTACACTCTGGCGATTTCCACAGATACGCTGATGAACCTCATTCTTAGACTACATCTTAATTTAACTGCAGTTAAAACTTTCAACTCATTCAGATACAAAAACATTTGGCTGGTACTGTTCATTGTGGAAGTGACTGGAAAGACCCACACCTGGCAAAACAAAATGGGAGACAGGCTGTCCAATTCATCAACCAGCACAAGGTTTTTGAGTGGTCTTGGTTGGAAGAAGAATGTGTCTCCTTCTTCCAGAGGCATGGCAGATGAAAACTCAGGTTCTTCATCATCGTCTCCGAGATGAGCAATTTGATATAAGTAACTGGGGAGAAGCACAGAAAAATTTAATTAAAAACCTTCTGCCTAAAGATTATGTTTACCATAAACACAATGCTCAGAAAGCACTTTCCAAAGATCTAATCAAAATTCTAACATGTACTATTGAGTCAGCGTCTATAGTTTCAAATCTGTTTATCTAAGTGGGGTCTTCTTTCTTAGAACAGAATGGATGAAAAAATGAAGACTACTGAATTCATGGGGCATGTGACTGGCTCAATCAATAGAAGATGCAACTCCTGACCTCAGAGTTTTGAGTTCAAGCCCCATGTTAGGCACAGATCACTTAAAAAAAAAAAAAGACTACTGATTTCAGATTGGTACAGTAAAGGACCTTAGCACCAGTGTTTAAAAGCACCTGGCTTCCACCAGAGTACCTAGGTTTGAATCCCAGCTCTGCCTCTTAACTACCTACATATTACTAATCTGTACATGCGTCACTTGTATCAATTTATAAAAATAAATAGTACCTTCCCATAGAATGCAATGAGTATGTAGAACTGCGTATGCATGGAACCTAGTGAGACCAGTGTTTGTCAAATAAAATGGAATATACAAAATTAAAAAAAAAATCCCAATTACACTTTAGGGAATTGCGTCACAGAGAAATTTGTGAAATTTGTAAATTTGTGAAAGAAATTTGATCAGACACTTAAGTCCCTAAAATAAAATGACATAAATGAAATCCAAACAAAATATACAACCATTTCCTATTTTAACCAAAACCAGGCCAAGTCTAACAGAAAATAAGAACTGGTGGTCACTTTGCAGTAACATGCAAATATCACAGTATCATTCCCCAAAACACTCCCCATACAGACATTACAGTATTATTCCCTGAAACAAAACATAAACATATCAAAGGTAATAAGCAACAAAATCATTCTGTCCTTCTCCTGTCTGTAATCTGGCTAATAATACTTAATGAAATGATTTACAAAAAAAAAAAAAAAGATGTAAAGGATCTTTAAGAATAGATAATCTAGAACAATATACCATCATAAGCAGAGTATGCACTTAGCTTCTGGGAAGCTCAATTTAAAAAAGAAACACCAAATCACTGATCACGTTAACCCCTTAAGTAATAGACCAGGACCTTTAATATACAGCACTTTAAACAACTTTAAGTTTAGCTTTTTAGAAGCAGAATAAAATGACTAAATCAACATCTGAAATACATAGCTATTCAAGAAATATTTACCAAATAAACCTCAACATTTAACACTTTTGGTAAACACATCAGATTCTATGCTAAATTACAAAAAAAGGAAATAGATTATCCTTCAACAATGTATAAAAGCACTGAAAATATAAGATACACACATAAAAAGTTAATTAGTATAAATTCCTCACTCAGGCAAGAGGTGTACACACAGATGATAGAGTCCACCTGACAAAAATACCTTCAGTATCTACTAACTGACAGATAACCAAAAGGATGCTAGGCTCACTACCTCCCATCAGAGGGAAGGTTGGTTAAATCTTGTAAGTTTCTGTGACTATGGTGTTGTGGTTCAGAGCAGAACTTTGGAACCAGATGGTCTGGGACTTAGGTGTCTGATCAAATTTCTTCCACAAATTCTCTGTGACCCAATTCCCTAAAGTGTAAATGAGGTAAGTGCACTGTCTCACTGAGAATGTTATGCATTGATATCATGTTATTTGCAGCACTTAGAACAGTGCTTGGAACATAGTAAATACTAAATGCTAAATGTCTGATAAATAGGTTGCTTTATGATTTAACACCCACAGTACCTGTTCCTGAGGACCCAAATCAGCACATTTTAAGTGCTCCAGACTTCAGCTTTAGTTCAGCAGCAATGGATAAGTTCTCACAAGCTCAAACCCATCCCAGTCTGATAAGTACCTGCCTGTATACTTCAGTCTTTCTACTCTCTGCCCCAAGAGATAAATTTCAAACCAGAAAGTTTTGGGAAACGAGTAAAAGAGCAAATAATAAAAATCACCCATAATCCTAGCAGTATCCCAGAATACTCATATTAACATTTCACTGGATCTACTTCCAGTATTTTTATTTTCTAGTTTTTGTATGTAATTTTATTTTAAAGAACTGCATCATTCTAAAAAAAGTTACTTTTTTAAATAAGCAGTGTATCATAAAATATTTTTCGTATCAGTATTTTTCACTTAAAACTTCTATTATGGAAATTTTTAAACACATACGTAAGAGAGAATAGTATAATTAATGAACCCATATGTGCCCACTGCTCAGCTTCAACAAAGGTCAACCCATGACCAGTCTTATTTCCCATTTTTCCAAAATAATATTAATTTCTTGATATTTTCAAATAGTATTCAAATTTTACCACTGTCTCAATATTTTATCACTTTTTAAAGATTTGAGAACGCCTACACACACACAGGGGAGGGGAACGGAGGGAGTGGGAGAGAGTGTCTTTTTTTTTTTTTTAAGGTTTTATTTGAGACAAAGAGAGAGCAAGCGAGAGAGGAAGAACAAGCAGGGGAGAGGGAGCCCAATGGAGGACTCAATCACAGGACCCTGGGATCATGACCTGAGCCAAAGGCAGACATTTAACCAACTGAGCCACCCAGGTGCCCAGGGAAGACAATCTTAAGCAGACTCCGCACTGCGTGTGGAGCCTGGTGCAGGGCTCAAACTCACCGCCTTGAGATCATGACCTGAGCTGAAACCAAGTCAGATGCTTAACCGATTGTGTCCTGCCTGTCTCAGTATTTTTATAAAGTTGATTTGTTTAGATCAGGATCTAAACAAACCCATACACTGCATTTAGTATACAGAAAACATTTTTAGTGGCAGCGTATCTTATGACCATACCCCATACTGATGGGATATTTAGGTTGTACTTCTGCGTTCACAAATAGCACTATAGTGAATATCGTGGGTGCATCTTTGTGTGTTAATCAAATACAGCCAGAGTTTAAATTCATAAGTGCAGGATGAAATTCTGATAAAGTCAGTAAGGATGAGTAACAGGCATATCTAAGAAAGGAAAAACAGTTGGAGAAAGGCAGAAATGGGATAGAATTCTAGAATCCTAGACACGACTTCATTTTAATCATGAGGAAACAGCATTAGTTAAGTGACTGCAGAGACTTTAGCAAATACTGGCAAGACCTAAACTAAAAATAAAAGGCAAGACCAAGTCACTGAGTAATTTGGAGACTTAGATATTGGTCTTAAATTCAAGGCTAGAGTTCAGACTTTATCCATTTGGTAATAAAAAGTCATCGAAGATTTTAACACAGAGATAAGGGAAAGGATTTCATCAAGGTTGTCTTAGCTGCTTAATGAGTTTTACAAGAAAAGACAATGAAATGTAGTAAGAAAACTAGTGAAGTCGTTTAGACTAGCCCTATAAAAAAAGGGATAAGGAAGTAAAAAGAGAAGTTAGCACTCAAACGGAAGTGGTTTTTTGTCCACAAAAATTGAGATGTTAAACTCAAGTTGCTAGAACTCATCCATTAGCCACTAACAGAAGAGCCAAGGCTGGGAAGGCGAGTGACGTGGCCAGGCAGCTGTGGGTACTCACAAGCTTCAACCTCAGATTTGTACAAGTGAAGCCTTCATAGAACATGAAAGTAGTTTCACAAATATTCAATAAAATGTCCAGCAAGCAGCTCAGGAAAGATCCCTTCTGAAGCTACTTTTGCAGTTACCTGAAGATAGTGACTAAAGTCACTGAAGTAGAGTAAATAACCAAGAAAAACAATGTAAAGGGGAAAGGAGGGCAAAACCTTTGAAGAAACTAGAACATTCTTTTGGAAAACTCTTCGGCCTTAGAGCCACATCTCCCTCCTGCCAACTTTTATAATAACAAGGGTGAACTAGGGTAATAAAAAGGATTACTCACTGGTTTCCAAATTCTGATGCTACAAAAAGGAAGCCTGTTTTAAGCACACACATGGCAGCAGCAACAGGCACAGTATCGAAATACTTGAGCCGGATCTCAGTAACCTGGAGGGGGGTGGAAAAAAAGATTCTACCATGTAGGCAAGTGAAGCTAGGCCACAGAAGGTAGCCCAGTATTGTAAGACAGCAAAAGCAGAATAACAAATAAAATATTGTCCTCAGTATCTAAACCCAGGGTTACCAAACTAAAACCCAAGACCAGCCTAATTTGTTTATGTACTTCCTATAGCTGCTTCTGTGCCATAATGGCAGAGTTATATAGTTGAGGCAGAGAGTATATTGCCCATAAAAGCTGAAAATGTTTATTACTGGGCCTTTACAAAAAAATTTGCCAACTCCTGAGCTAAACAGGTATCTAAAAAATTGCTCAGTTGTTCACAGAGCTCCTCCACAGGATGAAAACAGTGATCATGTGTATTACCAGTTTTCAGTAGACATCAAGAGCTTTTTCTTGCTACTCACTAGAAGTGGCATTACTCAGTCTTATACATGAGACTACCAGACCAGGAATCTGTTAACCACAGAAAACCTACATTTCTATACTAGTTGCACATATAAAAAGCTTTAACACCTTAGACAACCACTTTTTAAGATATTATTTCCATTTTATTAACTTGTAAAGTATTAACTGTCCTATCTCAGAGTAGTTTTGAAGATGGTTTATAAAACCACTCTGTAAACCTTAAATGTACACCTAAGTACCAGTTTTTGAATTAAGATTATTTAAATATATCAAAATTAGAATACCATATGACATTTTATCAAACCAGACTAACCTAACAAAAGTGTTTCTTCATGTTTTTTTCCCCTCTCCATCCACAGTCTGCTTACCATATCTTCATCTGTCTCCAAAGTGATCTTGAAGATATCTCCCTGCTCAGTTTGGGCCAAAAAGAAGAACATCGATTTGGTCTTATGGGTGGCAGAGCAGACAAAAATCATTCCTCTTTCAGGATCATCCAGGTCATTCTAGCAAAGTCAAATATAGAATCAACAACTTAGAAATGAGTACTTCTTATTTAGGGAATGCAGCACCTTACCAATAGGGATCATACAGGTCACCCACCCAAGGCCTAGAAATAACCCCACAGTCCTTTTTAAGTTTTAACCCAGAGAAGCCTGTTCGCCAAAATATAAAATGCAGTAGCCAAAATTCTTGTTTACTATAACTATGTGACAAAGCCTGTGTATAAAAAAATAGCCACAGGGCACCTGGGTGGCTCAGTTGGTTAAGCAACTCCCTTCAGCATAGCTCATGATCTCAGGGTCCTGGGACTGGCTTTCTGCTCAGCAGGGAGCCTGCTTCTCCCTTTCCTTCTGCCTGCCACTCTGCCTGCTTGTGCACGCACTCTCCCTAATAAATAAATAGAATCTTAAAAAAAAAAAAGGCCACAATTTCACTCTACATTCTGATCCAATGAGTAAGAAAAAAACTTTCTTCAGAGAAAAATGTCAAAGATATGAAATTTAAAGAGCCATCATTTCAGACTATGAAGAAAAGTCTTACATGTCCATGACACTACCATCCAAACTATCCTTCATTAGCCTTGTTCCACATCATCTTCCTTAACTCCTATAAGGCAACTCTCTGACTATAATCCTGGCTGGTTATTTTTTTTTTTAAATGTTTCCAACATTTTGTATTTCTCCCACTGACTTAGTTCTTTGAGGGCAAAACATGTTTTATACGTTTTTATACTCCCAAAACTAAGTACGATGCACAACAGTTAGGTAGGTGCTCAGTAAATGTCTGATGAGCCAAACTGAACTTCCCACACCTTACCAAGAATTTAACTTGAGAGATTTCTTCTCAGATTTCCTGAAATTCATGGACTCTTATCTGGATATCATATATTAGATCAACTAAGTAAGACCTACAAGATTCAACCCCAGGACCTATAAGTTAATATTAAAAAGATATAAAACGAAGGGTGAAAGGAAAGACCGAGGAAGCAGAGATTAAACGGGATTAGCTGAAGCTGGATATACAGTTCATTATATTCTACTTTGCATATCCTTAATAATTTCCACGTACATTGTTAAGATTAAAATTGATAAAACACCACTTTTAACCACCAATGTAGTAACTGAACTGAGGGGAAACGCACTGTGTGAAAAGATTTTAGGGAAAAGAATATTTACCACCTCAAAATTCACCACCTGCTTCCACACCAATTACAAAAAGGAAAAGGTACCCTCACAATTAAGCAGCACAGGCAGACACTACCTTAACAATTTATCATCACCAAGTCAAACCAACATTCTGTACCCCTAATGTGACAGAATTGGAAATGTGCCACTCCTTCTATAATGATTCTATCAAAAAATATTAACATGGATACAACCATATGGAAAAATATGATGGGACAAACTTCAAGAAAATTAGCCCTCCCTCAAAAAAAAGTCAGTAAAAGACCAAAAGCAAACAAAGGTGAGACAAAATATTCTAAAAGGGCAGTAAAAGTAGGTAAAAGGGTACTTTTGAGGAGGACAATGAGAGAAATTGGTATATGAACTATATATAAGATAACTGTATTACACAAAACAGTGTATTTCTTGCACATGATATTGGTAGTGTGGTTACACAGTAGGAAAAGTTCTTTTTAGGAGCTACATCTTATGAGAGTCTTAGAATGTCATGATGACTACAACTTATTTCCAAAAGGTTTGTCTAAAAATGTATACAGATATATCATAAGAAAACAACCCAAGGGATGCTTGGGTGGCTCAGTCAGTTAAGCATCTGCCTTCAGCTCAGGTCATGATCCCAGGGTCCTGGGATCAAGTTCCACATCGGGCTTCTTGCTCAGCAGGGATGAGCAGTGAGCCTGCTTCTTCGTCTGCCTGCAGCTCCCCTCTGCTTGTGTGCGGTCTCCCCCGACCCCTGACAAATTAAGTCTTTGAAAAAAAAGGAACAAAATCCAAATGCAGTAAAACATTAAATTGGTGCATCTTTTTTTGTATATAAAAGACAAACAGGAATTCATTTTTCTATTCTTTAAAATTTCCTGTACATTGGAATGGATGCAAAAAAGACAAAACAGTAGAAAACAATCTATCTCCAATAAATATGTCTGGCTTCTTCAAACTAGAAACGCAGAAATTTCAAAATGATCATCCACAGATTCTTCTGAAATGGAAACCATGTTTTTAATTCCTTTTCTCAAAAAATTTGTTTTGCTTTCACTAAAATACCAGCTTCACCAGGGCGCCTGGGTGGCTCAGTGGGTTAAGCCTCTGCTTTTGGCTCGGGTCATGATCTCAGGGTCCTGGGATTGAGCCGGGCACTGGACTCTCTGCTCCACTGGGCTCTCTGCTCAGCAGGGAGTCTGCTCCCCCCACCCCCGCCTGCCTCTCTACTTGTGATCTCTGTCATATAAATAAAATCCTTAAAAAAAAAAGTTTTATTACAAACAACATTTACGAAGAAACTAAAACCTCACAACAAATAAACTACGAGGCTATGCTGTAATTACAAAAAATAAATTAACTTCACAAACACCAGTATCTTTTCTTATGGCAAAGATTTTTACCCGTCTCCTGGGAATTGGACAGCGGATATCTGGTTGGTCACCGAAGTTCTTGTAGGTGATATAGTTTTCAGAGCAGATTAACACTCCACTTGGACCATCTGACCCTCCAGGAACTACAAAAAAAAACCAGAACTTAGCAATGATATAATGTAATATGAATTACGATTTAGCTTTCAGTTCCTTCTCTCCTTCAGCACAACCTGGATGAAGGTGTAAGTGCCTGAGACTAAGAAATATTCAAAGTGTTTCTTTTCCCTAATACTAGCATAAGACAAGGATGGAGTGCAGTTCGGGTAGCCTTAGCCTGTACAGGTACATGATGCCACATCTATAATTTCTAGCTGAGTCAAAACTCAGTTCTCATCTTTAGCCCTATAACCCAACTGTGCACTGGACACTTTTACAAGGATACTCCACAAGCAGCTTAAAAATACACTGTATTCATAAAACAAACTCAAGTTCCTTCCCAAATCTGTTCAACCTCCTGGGTCCTCCATCTCAGAGAACACCACTATCAGTCAACAGACCAAACCAGAAACCTGGGTGTCCCTCTTCAAGTCTCTGTCCCCTCACAGCTCTACTGAGTCTACCTTCTTAGCAGTGCTCATGCTGCCAATCCCCTGGGTTGGTAAAACAGCTTCCCAATCTGGCTTACATTCTTATCCACCACTTAATTAGCCAAAATGTAAGGAAGTGATGTTTCCAAAATACTCATCTTTTTTTTTTTTAAAGATTGATTGATTTATTTATTTATTTATTTAACAGACAGAGATCACAAGTAGGTAGAGAGGCAGGCAGAGAGAGAGAGGAAGAGAAGCAGGCTTCCCGCTGAGCGGAGAGCCGGATGTGGGGCTCGATCCCAGGACCCTGAGATCATGACCTGAGCCGAAGGCAGAGGCTTTAACCCACTGAGCCACCCAGGTGCCCCCAAAATATTCATCTTTAACAGATTATTCCCTGCTTAAAATCCTTCAGTCACATCAACAAAAATTAAGTTAAATAAAATCCTTCAGTAGCTACCTTCCCACCACAGCCCTTTAGTTCTATCGATCCATGAGCTTCTGAAAGTTCTTTGAACGAACAATGTTCTTTCTTTGCACATGGGCCTTTGTGCATCTCGCTCTCCTTGTCCACAACAGAAACTCCTTCCTCCAACCCCAACCCAATACCTAAATAACTAGTCCTCCAGTCTCAGCATAGAGCTCTTCTCCAGAAAGATTTCTCTAACATATTCCTTTCTTTCCCTGGGTTAGAGACCTCTCCTCTACCCTATCATGGCATTTAATACATTCTCTGGCAATTTTTTTGTTACTTAGACATATTCATCACCAGACTCAACCTTCCATTAAAGGAGACACCACATATAATTCTTCACCCAGGAGACTGACTCTGCACATACTAACTGTGGAGGCTCAATAAAAAATTGGTGAACAGGGCACCTGGGTGGTTCAGTGGGTTGAGCCTCTGCATTCGGCTCGGGTCATGATCTCAGGGTCCTGGGATGGAGCCCCGCATCAGGCTCTCTGCTCAGCAGGGAGCCTGCTTCCTCCTCTCTCTCTGCCTGCTTCTCTGCCTACTTGTGATCGGTCAAATAAATAAATAAAATCTTAAAAAAAAACAACTGGTGAACAAATGAAGACCTGACAGCAAAACATATGGTAATGTTACAGCAAATAATGAGATGTGTAATCTATTGTCCAAGGTTCTTCTGTTTAATACATGGCCTCTTTAAGATTTAATGCTCAAAGACAAGTGCTATCTTATTCTCCAAAATCTTCCCCCAACAGGGCATATTTCACTTTAGACATCAATTCAAGTGCAAATGACAACACAAAAAGGACTGGATCACTGTCTTCCCCAAGACAGTGGGGAAGAAACTTACAGGACCACAAATATACATGTCCCATTTACTCCTTTAATATAATAAATTAAACTGATACTGATTTTCTTTTTCAAGGTTTCATTTTCTAAGTAATCTCTCAGCTCAACGTGGGACTGGAATTTAACATCCCCAAGATCAAGAGTCACATGCTCCACTGACTGAGCCCATCAGGCACTCTGGTTACTGACTTTTTAATCGTAAACATCTCTGAACACCTATAAAAATTTTACTTAGCTATGACGCATTTAAAGCAGACTTCAATTTTCTAAGACCTTAGGTTTGGGTATTTATAACCATAACCAACATATATAGATTTTTTGTTACTAACCTTTCCCAATTTTGATACTTAAGTTACATTAGGGTCATAAAGTGGTACAATAGTTTTTTTATTTTTTTCCTATCTCTGGAGAAATTTAAGATCCCTAAAAATTCTAGACCTTAAATCTTTTGGGGAGTATTTCTGACTACTGCTGCAATTTCTTTAATGGATGCTGGTCTATTCAGGTTCTTAATTTCTTATAGGGTCAATTTTGGGAACTGCCTTCAAAAATATCTCTATTTCACCTAAGTTTTTAAATTCATGGACATACATACCATTTTATCTTGTTGATTTATCCATTTCATTTGTCTTTTCAAAGAATTAGGTTTTAGTTTTCTTAATGACAGTGAAAGACTGTCTACAGTAAAAATATCGGAGCACCCAACAGTAGTCAATGTTCCAAGCTGCGTGCTCTCCCCATCCTTTCTTCCCTGCCCCCATTAGAAGATAAGAGTCAGCCATTCCATGAACTTCTAACTTCACCAAAACATAGGCAAGGTACTTAGATTTACCACAAATGGATTGTAGTTTCCAAACCCTATTAAGTAAACTCTCCTAGGTTTGCGTATAAAATGAGCCAAGCAAAAAGGTATAGAATAGTTCTGAGAATAAAGTACCTGTAAAGGCATCTGGGTGCCTCTGTCAGTTAAGCCTCTGCCTTTAATTCAGGTAATGATCCTGGCGTTCTGGGATCCAGACCCACAATGGGCTCCCTGCTCAGTGGGGAGTCTGCTTCTCCCTCTCCCCACCTCTGCTCTTGCTCTCTCCCTCTCTCTCTCTCAAATAAATTAAAAAAAAACTTAAAAAAAAAAAAAATACCTGTAATAAGAAAGTTGCCATGTTCCTCCAAAGGTTCACTGTATTTTCGGACCACATGATTTAAACCAAGGTCTAATTCATAGAAGGTAAGAGTCTGCTGAGTATTAGCCGCTGCTTCCCCTGTTGGATCATTGTCTGCTTCCTATAAAGAAGGACAATGGCACAAACACAGCATTAGGATCCCTCCATCTCATGAGTGGGGAAGCAAAGGTCCCCAACAGTTTACCAAAGTTCACACTACGAAGTCATGGCAGAGCTGGAACACAAACCTGGGTCTTCTGTTTTGGGGATCAAGGTTCCCTCTAATGAAGGCTACAGCCTTCCATTCAAGGCAAAGAATAGTATGCCCCACCCTTCACCACCTCCCTGAAAAAAAAGTCCCACATACAGTTTCACCTCCTTTTTCAGACAGCTCTTCCCCCCAAAATACCATTTTTATAGGGAGATTGTTCGAATCAGAGTAAGCTATATAGTTAAAGTTAAGCTGTGAAACATTCCAAAGACTCCTGATAAGACATTTGGAAAACAGAAAAGATTTGTTAGCAAAATAACTGTAAGACAACACAATGAAGAAACAATCAGGAAAGCACAGAGGCGAATCAAAGAAACCATCGTGTGGGGGGACGGGGAGAAGAAAGGGGAGAGAGGAAGAGAGCAGGGAGTCAATGAGTCCCCATTACCTCATAATCCATTTCCAGACAAGCAAACATTGGATTTTCAAATCCCACATCTACTCCAACCACATGATATACTAAAGTGTTCGCTTTGTGGGCCTCTAGGGGAGATGAAATGGTAAGTCGGGCTGCAGCATCTCTGTTTAAGATATATACCAATTTCTGTTTTTCAATGGCACCTACAGATAAAGGAGACAAAAACAAATAAAATTTCCAGAAAATGTAAAGAAGGGCTTATAGAACAGCCAGACTCGCATCACAATTGTTTCTTTAAAATTATTAATTGCCAACATTAACTTCACAAGTGTATTAATTAGAATTTTACTATCAGTAAAATAGACAACAGAATTTTACTCCCTTCCTTCCTAATAGGGATCTTAATATCCCACTAACTCTTTAAGAAAACTTTTCAGCGTGCCCTATATTTAATGGTACTGGGAAACAAAACATTAATTCCTAAAATTGCCAGCTTTATTCTCTGAATTAAATCTAATGATTTCGTGACTTGTCAAAAGAGTTGCCTTCTGCAGGCCTGATCAGATACATAGAAGTTTCTTCAAGAGATATATCAGAGAAGAGACATGAATGTGAATCATCACTTCAGGCTGATGAAAGCAACCATATTCACTGCCTAATTATGTACAATCATCTCATTGTAGGCTTTCTGCTACACAGAAATGGGAAAAACATCTAATTCAACCAGAAAGGAAATAAAAAAGGTGTGTTAAGACTATTGCTATTGATGGGGCACCTGGGTGGCTCAGTGGATTAAGCTGCTGCCTTCGGCTCAGGTCATGATCTTGGGGTTCTGGGATCAAGCCCCGCGTCGGGCTCTCTGCTCAGCAGGGAGCCTGCTTCCCCCTGACTCTCTGCCTACTTGTGATCTCTCTCTCTGTCAAAGAAATAAATAAAATCTTAAAAAAAAAAAAAAAAAAAGACTATTGCCATTGTTTTAAAAGGAAAAGCAACTTTAAACCATGGCATTAATCCAAATGTGATCCAAACTTTACCCAGGTAATGAACTTACAGGCACACTGCCAAAAGCACAGCACTATTACCCCAAACTGAGAATCTATGAAGTCTCAAAGATATACTTAATAGATCACATCACTCACTAATCATAACAGCTCGCCCTTTGGGATCCACAGCTAAGAACTGGCCAGGAACAATGCGGCGGCATCCGCTCTTGCCAAAGGTTTCTTGGTGAATTTTCTCAAACATATTCTTAGATGGCTGGTATTCCAAGATAACAATCCGACCCGAGTCACTGCCAACCACAATGTAGTCTTTGGTGCCACCAGTCAGCCTAAAGGCCATGAGTGACCGGATAACACCAAATACTTCCACAGTTAGTAGAGTGTGTACTTTGCCAGTGTTGGGGTCAGGGCGAAGCAGCTCCAGTATCTTCCCACGGGAAACAACAATTTCCTGCTGTTTGGTTCCTAGATCACCAAAACAATAAAGATCATGAATAATCAGAACTAGTCCAAAAAGTAAACTGATTGGGTCAAAATGCCACTCAAGATAAATATAATTAAGTTGGGGTATTTTTTTAAATTCTATTTCATCCCTAGAATTGATATGACTTAACAAAAGTGATATCAAAGAAAAACTTTTTTTTTTTTTTTTTAAGATTTTATTTATTTATTTGTCAGAGAGAGAAAGGGAGAGAGAGCGAGCACAGGCAGACAGAATGGCAGGAAGCGGCAGAGGGAGAAGCAGGCTCCCTGATGAGCAAAGAGCCCAATGTGGGACTCGATCCCAGGACGCTGGGATCATGACCTGAGCCAAAGGCAGCTGCTTAACCAACTGAGCCACCCAGGCGTCCCTCAAAGAAAAACTTTTACAAAATGGTCACACAGGGGCACCTGGGTGGCTCAAGACATTAAGCATCTGCCTTCAGCTCAGGTCACGATCCCAGCATCCTAGGATCCATCCCTACATTGGGCTCCCTGCTCAGCAAGGAGCCTGCTTCTCCCTCTCTAGCTCCCCATGGCTTGTGTTCCCTCTCTCACTCTGTAAAATAAATAAAATCTTAAAAAAAAAAAAAAAAAAAAAAAA